CACACACACACACACACACACACACACACACACACACACACACACACTCCCATGCACAATAAAGCTACACTAATTCTGCAGAACAGAGATCCTTTGGGGTGGCAGAGTAAGAGGTGTGGATTCACCTGAGGGCTTGTCTACACTGGAAATGCTACAGCGACACTGCTGTAATGCTTCAGTGTAGACACTACCTACACTGATGGGAAGGGTTCTCTCGGTGGTGTAGGTAATCCACTTCCCAGAGAGGTAGTAGCTAGGTCAACAGAAGCATTCTTCCTTTGACCTCGTGCTGTCTACATAGGAGGTTAGTTCTGCTTCGCTACATCACTCATGGGTGTGGATTTTACACACCACTGAGCAATGTGGCTAGGTTGACCTAACTTTTTAGTGTAGACCAAGCCTCAGTCACTGAAATATGCATCTAATGATGCTGCCACTCAAATGTTGCCATTTATTTCAATGGGAAAAGCATTAGGGCTTGATTCAAAACCCATTAAATCAACAGACATTCCCGGGCTTTAATGGGCTTTGGATCAGGTCAGTCCCATAACTGCAAAAGTATGTACTATGTCTGAAGATGACAATTCATTTATTCTTAGAGCATGTCTACCCTATGGCTGCTATAGCAGCACAGCTATGGCACTGCAGCTGTGCCACCATAGTGCCCTGAGTAGATGCTTCCTACGTAGATGGAAGGGGTTTTTCCACGGATGTAGTTAATCCATCTCTCTGAGAGATGGTAGTTAGGCTGATGAAAGAATTCTTCACATCCCTGAGCTACATAGCTGGGTCAATCTAATTTTTAAATGTAGACCAGCATTAGAGTCATCAGAAAGAAGGAGCTGATTCTGCAGTCATCACACTGGGGAAAGAACTGTGGCATTTAATAGTACTTTTGCCTGTAATATGACTATAGGTGTGGTCCAGATTAGGAAAAAATATCTGAACCCTGACGACACGTAGGGCACTCAAGACCTGATCTAGTAGCTTTAAAATGATTGCGATTTTAACTGCTGTAGAACAATAATTAATAGCAACATCTCTTTCCCACAACAGACTTTATATTATTGGGCACTTGTCATTTTTGTGTTGATTTTTTTTTTAAAAAGGCATACCTCTGGGCTTTCTACAGATTAAATTATGCTTGTCAACAGATGCAAATTACTGCCAGGCATTCTCCCATTTCACTGGGTTAAATACCCAACTGCAGAAAAGTCTGTAGCAATTTTTAGCCAGACACATTTATTATCTATTATAAGCTGACTGGAATGCTGAGAAGTCATCCAAGTAATAGGATAGGCTAATGTGTAGGCAATTAAAGCTCTAAAAACGGCCTCTCTTCCGTCACCTCATTGAAGGCATTTAATCTCTTCACTGACCATCTGGGTGCAAAGTATATACACTCCATCTTAAACTTTTTGATTCTAATCCTAGAAAGGGACTAGTTGGTACAGAGTTCCAGTAGGACCCTGCCTAGGCTAAAAGGTCAGCACAGGCATAAAACTTTGTAGGATTGGTGCCTTACATTAAGATTTGAAAAACAATTGCACTTACTCATGAATGTAGAAAGTGTAAGCAAAGCTAGACTAAAAACAACCTACACTCTGTTGGGAATGATTCCTTTCAGAGCATGCTCAAGTCCTTTCTCACATAGTTATTTCAAGGTCTGACCTTCATAAAGAAACTCTCCTGAGAGAAGCAGTCCATACTTCTTTATTAGAGCACTTCACTTTAGGACAAGACAGACAGAATAACTTCTTGTCCCCCATACCTGTGACACATAGTTGCCAAATAATAAAGTTTCCTCAGCATGCACGTTTGATTTTTTTTTTTTGTATCTTTGTATTTACTAAGTTCAGTGGTAATTGATATATAGCTAAAAATCCTCCCCATGTTTTTTTTTTTTTATTTATTTAGAAAATGATAAAAAAGTAACAGAAATACAGGGGCAGAAGGCAAAGAAAGGAGAAGGGAAGATTTGCTCTTCTCTCCCCTTTATTATTTTAAGGATGAAATAAAAATACTATGGAGGCACAGGTTGTAGCTCCATAGTTAAGGCCGACGTGAGTTTTGCATTTAAAGCAGCGGTGCCCAGTCATGGCATCCAAACAACCTTAATTCTGCCCTGTAGTGACATTAAAGGTATGTCTACACTGAGAGGCGACACATGGGGTGGTCAAACACCCCCCCCCCCCGAACCTTTAAATTGTGCCGACCCACACTATCAACATTTACATGTTGCCTCTGTAAAAAGGTGTGGTCTTAACTCAGATTAGCTAACCCTGTTGGAGGTATTTGGGTGGAAACAGCACGGCAACACAGCTTTTAACTTGGTTCAGCAGCTCAAGTTCAACCCTGAGCTGCGCTAGAGGCTTCAACTTGAGCAGCTAACCCAGGTGAAAAGCCAAGTTGTTGTGTCTTCACTGTTATTTGAACCCAAGTTAGCGAATGTAGGTTAGCTAATCCAAGTTAAAACACATCTTTTCATGCAGTGTGTAATCTAGGTGGGGGGATTAAAAAAAATCTAATGTGTCTTTAAAAAACAGTTTAATTGAACATGGAACTTCAACAACTATTATGCATTAATTACAATTGTCTAGTTACTGCATGATGTTACTATAGGGCAGAGTTAAGTTTGGTTAAGGAAAAGTACATCTCCATACCTTCATGTTCGGATTTCTTAAATTCAACTTTAACTCTGAATTTCCTGGGTTTATACCACTTATTTTGAGGATAATTATGCCCCTATAATGGTTTTACCCTAAACATCTCATATGTACTTCCAAAATTAACTTCATTTTGTGTTGGAAAATATATACACACACGCGAGTGATACTACAGTTCTTACCTTTAAAACATCTTAAATGAATTTGCCTTGTGTGGTATCTTTGAAAAACCAATATACTGCAATGGAGAAATCATTCTCTTTTGCCATGGCTATCAAAACAAAGCAACTGTTAAGCAACCTTAATGGTAGTTTATATTGAAAACTACTCTTCCTTTAAAAAAAGCCCTCCAATAACCTTTACCTGCAGCTTTGGACAGTCTAACCATGGGTCACTTTTTCAGTGTGTAGAGCCATAGTTTTCCACCATGAATCTCAAATACCACTGTATGTATACCCTTCAGGCCGTTTTGTTTTCCCAATACCCAAACTGGCCAAGCCTGCCTCCTTGCAGCAATGTTTATGGGAAGGGGAGAGCCATTTCTTTATTCCTTGACTTTGTACTTGGGCTGT